ATTGAGTCTCCAACAAGCCAAGGCAGAGGTCTAAAGGAGGACCCACAATATGAAGAACAAATGGTGGGAAGACAAAACTAAGGAGATTCAACATCTTGCTGACATCCACAATATGCATGGCTTCTTCAGTGCCACCAATTCCATCTACGGTCAAGCACTTAGGGACCAACCCCCTTGAGACCTAAGGGTGGTGGAGACCTGATCCAGAAAAGGGGAGCCATCAATGCCTATTGGAAGGAGCATTTTGAAGACCTTTTCAATTGTCAGACTCAGCTGTTGATGAGAATGTGTTCTCAACTCCATCCTGCAACACCCAGTCAGAGATGATCTCAGAATCCCTCCAACCCTTAATGAGGTGAGAAAAGTCATTATGCAGATGAAAAACAACAAGGCATCTGGAGTGGATGGAATCTCCATTGAAAGGAGGAGGAGAGGAGTTCACATCACAGCTTCATGCCCTCATCTTAAGGGCCTGGAATGATGAGGAAATCCCAGAAAACCTCAGGGATGTCATAACTGAGACAGTCTTCAAAAAAAGAGACAAGTCCAACTATGGAAACTATGGAGAGATCACCTTGGTGTCCACCACAGGAGATATCATTGCAAGAACACTTCTGAACCATCTCCTTATACTTGCTGAAGAGCTCCTCCCAGAATCTCAGTGTGGGCTTAGGGCATCAAGTGGCACAACTGACATGTTCTTCACAGCTTTCCAGCTGCAGGAGTAATTTGGGTACAACATAAGCCTCTCTACATGGCCCTCTTTGACCTTACACAAGCTTTCAACTCTGTCAGCCAAGAAATTTTGTGGAGAAACTTTTTCAAGTATGAATGCCCACTGAAATTTGTCACCATTCTCTTCCTGCTTCGTGATGGTATGCGAACGGTGGTTTTCAGTAATGGATCCATCAGAGCTCCCTTTGAGGTTAAAACAGGGATTAAACAAGGCTAATGATCTAACTAGACAAAGAAGGACAAAGGTTAGGAAAAAGGAATGCTGATTTACTACTTTATACTGATGGGGAAATGAGATTCAGAGAGAAGGTCACACTGTAAGTTTGTGGCAGAGCCAGGAACCAAACACACATCTCATGGGTCACTGCTTTCTGCTAACCACAATATTCAATGTACAGGGAACCATACTAAAAAGCTCAATTTGGGCAGTCTCTCCATTTCAGTAATATGTACCTGAATAAGCACTACACATGGATTTATGAAACTGAGTTTCTGGCAGCAGTTGTGTACATGATCTCTGCCTTGTGCAGACAGAACAAGTTCAGTTGGGCTTGTTCATACCATACCAAGTCAGCCAAGCTATGGTTCTAATGGGAACTCCCACAAGCTGTACAAATGACTTATACCTTAGCAGATATTTTAAAAATGCTGAGCAAGATTCAGGGAAATAGAAAACTTACTATCATTGTGAAAATGCACTCTTCTCTGACAGGCCCAAAGAGTTCATTGAATGTGTATCTCACATTCGTTTGCTTTCCTGGCTCCTTCTGGGATCCCTGACGCACAATGTTGTCTGCCCAAATTCTCCATCGTCTTGCATGCCGATTCCTCTGGATGCAGGTTCCCACGTTGCGGACCACCTTATAGTTATCCTGATTGGGTTTCCTGAGCAGTCAAAGGTAAGGAAGTCCATGCATTTGTGGTGTGCATCATCATTAGTATTGCAAACACTTGGCATTAAATTCTATTTCACCTTTTTGGGCATAGGTAGAGCCTACACAGCCACATGATGGCAGTTTTTATCACTTAAACAGTTTGCTTATCCTGCACGTTCCTTTTGAGCATGCTCAGCTGGCTGCACTATGACTGTCTTGGTGCCCAGTGGGAATAGACTCTCCTAGGTACTTGTATTCTTCAGGGTAAGGTCCACCAAAACCACAAGTAGCAAGTATTTGACACCAGAGGGGAAGGAGTTTTAGAGTTGGTGTGCTTGCCCAGGGTGTAAGGCCCAAGTTCATAGCCTACCCTCTCAGAGAGGAAATGAAACCACTAAAGGCCTCTGACCAACATGGCATGTGTGAGGCATCTCCCAGAGCACACTCCAGCCTTGTTATTGAAGCTGGGTCATGGTGTAGCCAGGAAGGGAAGATGTGTAAGGCCAGGAGGAGGACCAGCCAGAGGCAGTCAGTGAGATGGGTAGTGCTTTAGAAGAGATGGGGGTCCCTGCTCTCAGTGGGGACAAAAGTTATTGAAGTTCCGTTCATCAATGGCATGTTGTTATCTTCACAAGAAACAGGCATGGAAAGAGACTATAAGCTTGTGATTAAGAAAGGTGCTTTTTAAGGTAACAGTCCCTGCAGAGAAAGAAAACAAGTAATAACTTCTCTAGAATTCATTTTGTTTGAAGCATTTGACTCTGAGCATGGTAACAGGAAACAGGAATTCTTGAGTTCTAAACTGAGCTCTGACATTGACTGTAACAAGTAAATTACCACTTGTTCTGTATAGTACGATATAGAAAATACATTTCTGTTCTACTCTATCCTGTTCTATTCAAATAGTGTAATACCGCTAGCTGACCCATATCTCAGGCTTGATGTCAGGATTAGAGTTACTATTTGCAAACAGTGATGGGTCTAAGCACGACTTTATTTGTCAAGTGTTTTGAAGATGGCAAGTGCTCATCATTGTTGCAAATCATAAACCATTTACAACAATAATTAACGTAGATACAACTTGTATTCCTACAATATTATGCAGGGTTTAATAAACTACGGAAGTAGAACAATCAGGGTTGTCTTTTACTTATTGCTCTCCAACCTATCTAAGGCTGATGTTTCCCATTCATTCTTCCTGGACTTTTTTTTGCTCCTTCAAACACTTCCCTCTAGATACCAAGCAACCATGGCAACATTTGGTACAGTCATGCTGCCGCTGAGTATGCATCACTGTTATACTTTCAAACTAAGAAAATATCTTTGATCCGAAATACAGTGAAGCATCTCTTTTATAATGAACTAATGACATGCCTCAGAGTCCAGAAAGCTAAGAAATCACCATACGTAACATTTGCTACTATTTATTACTAGCAGAGCATGTTCAGGTAAGTTCTGTACATTCATAAGACTATGCTGTGAGCCTTACAAAACTCATACCCTGGGGCCACAATGTGGAAGTAAAATTATTTATTTTTGGGCATACTCCTTTCCTGAGACCCCAAACCCATACCAACTAATCCAGAACAGGTTTAAAATGATGAATCTTAAAGGTTGTTGAATCTAAAAGGTGTGATCCAACAGGCCTTCCATTGGCTGCTGCGGGGAATTTTTCCTCAGGAAGTTTTGTGGGATTGATCCCTAAGAACATACTGACCTGCACACATTTCTTACTTCAAAGGGATGGATGCTAGTGTGACTGCTCAGGAGTATGGGCCCACAGTGGGCCAATCGATTATTAGATAGGAATCTTAGACTGTATATGCAAAAAGATTTGTAGAGTATTAACAAGCTGTTAGCAGGTGCTCTCCACTTACTTTACCCTTGCAAAAGACAAAACACTTGATAGGCTTAGGGTACTTGGCCGTAAATGAAAGAGAAGCCCTTCCAAGTGGATTGCTTCAATTGGACCCTGTGTTAATGGTGTTTGCTTTTGTGGAGAGTACAATTGATACTGTTATGCATTATTTCAGTAAAACGTTTTCCTTGCATTCTTGTTTTACAGACATCGGTGCTGCACATGTGCTCCCTCTTCCATGCATTTATATTTGCCCAGCTCTGGACAGTATATTGTGAACAAACAGCAGTAGCCCCTACTGTCCAAAATCAAAATGAATTTAGCTTTACGGCAATCCTTACAGCTCTGGAATTCTGGAGCCGGGTGACACCTAGTATCCTACAGCTCATGGCACATAACAAAGTGGTGAGTCAGATGGTGTGTACAGATTTGTTTATCACAGATTTAAGCAAAGCCAAGCCTTCTGGGTTTCAAGTTAAAAGCTGTATGCTGTTGGCTTTGTTGATGGCCTCATTACACTGCTGGCTCATGTTCATCTTGGAGTCAACTATAACTCCAAGATCTCTCTCAGCCTCTGAGCTGCTAAGGAGGACATCCCCCAACCTGTAGGTGTGCTGGAGATTCCTTCTTCCTAGGTGGAGTACCTTACATTTGTCTTTGTTGAATTGCATCCTATTACGTTCCGCCCATTGATCTAACCTGTCCAGGTCAGCCTGTATCTGCTCCCTGCCCTCTGGTTTATTAACTTTGCCCCATAATTTGGTATCATCCGTGAACTTGGAGAGAGTGCTTATCATACCCTCATCTGAATCGCTGATGAAGATATTAAATAACACCAGCCCAAGGACCGAACCCTGCGGCACCCCAATGCCCACCTCCTTCCAGGCCGAGAATGACCCATCAACCGCCACTCTCTGGGTGCAGTCCCTAAGCTAGTTTGCCATCCACCTGGCTGTGTGGCATCCACTCCACAGCCCATTAACTTCCCTGTGAGAATAGGATGCAAAACTGTGTCATAGGCCTTCCTAAAATCCAGGTAGATGACATCGGCCTCTGCTCCTGTGTCAAGGCAGTGTGTGACCCGGTCATAAAAGGCTATAAGGTTTGTCAGCCAGTATCTACCTGTGATGAACCCGTGCTGGTTTCCTTTCCCCGTGCTGGTTTCCTTTCCCCTGCTGGGCTTTCACAAATATGCTCTTTGATTTTTTCTAGTATTTTCCCAGGGATAGAGGTAAGACTTACTGGCCTAAAGTTACCCAGCTCCTCCCTTCTCCCCTTCTTAAAAATGGGCACCATGTTGGCCCTTTTCCAGTCCTCAGGGACCTGTCTGGAGCACCGTGAGAACTTAAACAGCTGTGCCAGTGGCTCAGCAATGACACTGGTCAATTCCTTCGGCACCTGTGGATGGAGGTCATCTGGGCTGGCTGACTTGTACCTATCCAGCCCTTCCAAGTGCTCTTGAACTAAGTCAGCACTAACCTTTGGCAGTCTGGTGCCTTTTGGACATCTGTTTATGCTCAAGGTACGGGGATTGTCTTGGTCAGTATTAAGGAATACTGAAGTGAAGAACTCATTGAAGAGCTCTGCCTTTTTGTCTGCATCAGCCACCAACTGACCTGATCTGTCCTGTAGGGCCCTATGCTACTCTGTGCCTTCTTTTTGCTCACTATGTATCTGTAGAAGGACTTTTTATTGTCCTTGAATGTTGTAGCCAGCCTAAGCTCCAGTCCTGCCTTGGCCTGCCTAACTGACTCCCTGCAATAGTGTGCCAGGGTGGTGTATGCCTCTTTGGTGGCTGCCCCTGGCTTCCACTGCTTATACATCTCTTTCTTTGCCCCCAGTCTTTCCTTAAGCTCCCTGTTAAGCCAAGGGGTTTTTTTTATCCCCTTAGCCCCTTTCCTGTACAAGGGGATAGACTCCTTTTGTGCCTCAAGTATCATTTCCTTGAGAAACTTCCAACCCTCTTGGACCTCCATTAGCCCAATGCTCTTGAGCTCAGCTACCTCACTAACTAGGTTCCTAAGTTTACTAAAGTTGGCCCTTCTGAAGTCTAAAACTCTAGCATGACTGGATATTTTTCTCACCCTTCACTGGATAGTGAACTCTACCAAGTGGTGGTCACTGTCACCTAGGTTACTGTGTAGCCGCAGGTCCCCCACAAGATCATCCCCTGTTGCTAGGACCAGATCTAGCATGGCACTACCCCTGGTGGGACTGGACACCATCTGGGTTAGGTGGAGGTCCTGCACACAGTATAAGAACCTTCTTGAGTGGCTTGTTTTGGCTGCCTGTTCCTCCCAGCTGATGTCCGGGTAATTTAGGTCCCCCATGACCACTGCCTCTCTCGCCTGCATGGCATCTGAAAGCTGCTTGGAGAATACCTTGTCTAGCTCGTCATCCTGGTGAGGAGGTCTGTAGTAGACCTCTACTACTGAGTCCTTTTTGCCTGGCCCCCCCAGATCCTGACCCACAATGCCTTGGTATTCCCCTCCTCCACTCCTGCCTTGATGATGGAAGATGTGTACTGCTCCTTAATATAGAGAGCTACACCCCCATCTTTTCTCCCTACTCTGTCTCATTTATACAACCTGTACCCCTCAATGCCTACCACTGAGTCGTGTACAGAATCCCACCATGTTTCAGTTAAGCCAACTAGGTCATACTGTGTGCTAGCAAGCAGGAGTGTGAGTTTCTCCTGCTTGTTCACCATACTCTTGGCATTTGTGTAAAAGACATTTTAGCCCCATTAGGTGCCTGCACCACATCTGGAGGGAGTCTATTCCAGGACTTGGGGGCTCGGACAGTAAAGAAATTTTTTCTTATGTCCAGCCTAAAGTGGTCTTGTAGGAGTTTATGATTGTTGGTCCTTGTTTTTCCTTGGGGCTCTCTGGTGAACAGACGCTTTCCCAGATCCTGATCAACACCCCTTGTGTACTTATAGGCAGCCACCAGGTCCCCCCTGAGCCTGCGCTTTTCCGGACTGAAGAGTCCCATGGCTATAAGCCTCTCTTCATAAGGCCTATTCTCTTGCCCTCTGATCATGCACGTGGCTCTCCTCTGCACTCTCTCAAGCTTCTCGACATCCTTTTTGAATCACAGAGCCCAGAGTTGGATGCAGTATTCCAGCTGCGGCCTCATCAAGGCCAAGTACAGCGGGAGGATTAACTAACTTAATATAATGCTTAACACTTCTTTGTATTATATAATATAATCATGGGTGACTGGTGCCTCCAGAGTCTGGGGGGGCACCAGTGGCCAATTGCTGACCAGGGCAGGTGGGCTCCCCCAGTAGCCAATCACTGAAGGAGGGGTAGGCCTCAGCAGCCGATCGCTGGGGGTGGGCAGAGGGGGGCAGGGGGAATAGCTGATCACAGTGCCAGTAGCAAAACTGGAAGTGCCACTGGCACTTCTCTCAGTGCCAGCTGGCGCCAATCTCAGGGGGGCACCAGCTGGCACTTTGCTTGGTGCCCCCACTGCCTGGCTGGTGAAGGCCAATCTCAGGGTGGGCATGTGCCCCCCGTACCCTCCCTATGCATTGCCTATGATAACACTTAACACTTTATTTAACAATTGCCTTGCTGAATATGTCTCTTCAGATGTCTGGTCACATGGGTCACTTCCTATCTTGCTCAGACCTGGGTTTCTTCCCTTTCATTAGAAATTGTTTGGAGTGCAGATGGAACATTCTTGTACCACTACGTCAGTTGCCTATAAGGGCATGTACATAATATATTTAAAGATATCTTCTAATGAGATTTTAGTCTCTGAAAATGAGGAGAAGCTTGCATGATCACCTAGATCTCTGTGGAGCCCTAGTAATGCTCTCTGGTTCAGTGACCAGAGTTTAGGAACTGTTGCTGTTAGCCTCTGTGCACTGATGTCATGTTGAAATCAGTGGGAGTTCTGTGTGGTACTTAACTCTGACTAGCCTGATGCTTGGCCAAACCTAAAAGGAAAGGTGTGACTTCATGACAAGAGTTGGGACCAGGGTGTTTTTTAATCCCAGGTCTAACAGTGACTCATTATGTGGCCCTAATTGCAAGTCATTAAACTCTCTGCCTTGGCTACCACTCTGTGAAATGCAGATAATAATACTTACCCATCTCACAGGGGTGTTGTGGAGTTTAATTAGTTAGTGTTTGTAAAGCACTTTGAAGATGAAAAGCACCACATAAAAGCTAAGTTTATTATTATCTAGGGGAATTCATGCATATTTCAGACAGACGCTGTAAATATACACTGCTGTCTTGGAGTATTTGTTTTGTTGTACTTGTGTATTTACATAACATAAAACATAAAATTCTATTTACTGTCAAATATCTAATATTTGCATATATAGTATTTCATGCTATAAAATTGAAGAATTATATATCCATGGCCCCTCTGCCAAATCAGAACAATAAATTACCATCAGAAAGAAAAAATAAAAAATTGATCTTCATGACTATAATAATTGTCAAAGGAGTTTAGTAAATAAGAATACCAATTTCTGACTAGGTGACTGATGAGAACTACCCAGCAGGGATATGTGGGAAGGATTTATAAGGACCAGGATGCAGGAAATTGAAGGCAATTTGTCTTGGTATATCACAGGAATTAAGCAAAATAAATGGATCACTTAGAAGTATTTAACTGATATGTGCTGTAGTACCAGAGGAAGGCTTAATAAATCTAAATGTTCCTCCTGTATACAAGTACTATTTAATCTGAAATGTCAGTAGTTCAAAAATATATAATTTCTGCCCCAGTATAACTGCCAAGGAAATGAAGCAAAATTATTTTTAGGACCCATTGGCTTTTTTCTCACACATTTGTTCTTTCAGATGGTGGAAATGGTGTGTCTTCATGTGATTAGTTTAATGGAGGCTTTACAGGAATGCAACTCCACCATCTTTGTCAAGGTAGGAAAATTACTTGTTGTGGATACTTTTTAAAGGATACTGCCTGGATAGTTCAACTTATAATAATGTTATTAGAGTTCCCAGAAGAGGAAACTAGAAGAGGCAGAAGTTGTTGATCCAGTTTGAAGATGTAAACTATCTGACAGAGATGGGCAGTTCCATCTTCCTCCAGATCCAAACTCCCTTTGAATTTTGACATAATTTCTGATATCTGACACCATCTGTAAAAACACACTCAACAAAACTATGAATTCAGTTATCCCTGATTTTTTTGTATACAAAAGCTAAATTCGTTGCTTCCTTTTTGACCCATTTCCTAATTGCTAACATTCATTGTGGCTCTTTGTTTCCTTTGGAGATTATCTCAAGGCCCTGCCAATCAAACCCTTTTAGGCTGTTAACACAAGGTTTGTGCAAGAAAAATGTCTGGTTTTATCATGTGCCTATATTTGGGTTTCTAACTTTCCTGAATTCTGTTTCTCTTGAAAAATGAAATAGCCCTGTACCAATTAATAGTCTATTTCCTGCTTGCTTTACTAATGCAAAATTCCTTTGGAAATAAGTGGCCAGCAGCATTTCATAGTTTCATAGTTTCTAGGGTCAGAAAGAACCTGAGCAGATCATCTAGTCCAACCCCCTGCCATGGCAGGAAGAGCACTGGGTCAAGTGACCCCAGTAAGGTGGTCATCCAACCTCCTCTTAAAAACCCCCAGGGTGGGAGCCTGCACGACCCCACTTGGAAGCTGGTTCCAGACCCTAGCTGCCCTGACCGTGAAGTAGCGCCTCCTGATGTCCAACTTAAACCTTCCCTCCGCCAGCTTGTGACCATTGTTCCTGGTCACTCCTTGCGGCGCTCGGGGGAACAGGGACTCCCCCAGCGCCTGCTGATCCCCCCTAACCAGTTTATAACAGGCCACAAGATCCCCCCTCAGCCTTCTCTTTTGAAGGCTGAACAGGTTCAGGTCCCGCAACCTTTCCTCATAGGACCTACCCTGCTGTCCCTTGATCATACGAGTGGCCCTCCTCTGGACCCTCTC